TCAGAACTCTTGGGTGAATATATCTGGTCCTTAATTTATCAATTTGTTCTAAAACCTCCTCTAATGACACCTTAATCTGGGACAATTCCTCAGATTTGTCACCTAAAAAGAATGGCTCAGGTTTGGGTATCTCCCTCACATCTTCAGCCGTGAAGACTGATCCAAAGAATTCATTTAGTTTCTTCACCAATGGCCTTCTCGTCCTTGAGTATTCCTTTAGCATTAATATTAATTGAATAATTTATAATAGTGATTAATATTTTAGTATTAATTATTATCAATAGTATTTAATCTTTGTTATATAATATAGATATATTAATTATTAATAACAGTGATCAGTAGCTATTTAGTATTTATTATTGTTATTAACCACTAGGTGTCGCTGGTTCCCCACAAAATCCTGCTCCTATCCTGGCTGGGTCTTAGGGTGAATGGGACCCAAAAGTGTGTGGGGGTGTGTGTGTAAAAATTAGGAGTTAAAAAAACACACATACAAAAACCAAGAGTGAGAGACTGTCAGCATGGAAACATCTGGTAAAGATACACCCTGGCTATGCTGACACGCATCACAAATGCACCCCGATAACCAGACTCCCCCAACACACCATCACTCAGACATCTGCTACACTCAGACACCCCAGCTACACCCAGACACACTATCTCCCCGCCGACACCCAGACATGCCGACTTCTACAACAACACCTCTCATCCCCCCGCAATACTCAGACACAACAACACCTAAACATCAGCCTAATACATGGACACCCAGACAGTCTGACACCTCCCTCTGTTATCCTCCCTTGACACCCCAACACCCAGACACACTGATTTCCGCATTGACAACCAGAGACACTGACACACACACATTCTGACACCTCCCAGTTCCAGACAAACAGACACCCCTCTCTAATTCGTCCGCACACACTAACTCCCAGACACTTTGATCACCACCAACGTCCAGGCATACTAACATTCAGATTCTCTCCTAACACACTGACACCCAGACACCCCAACACCCCTCGACATCCAGGCAACCTGACACACACACCCCAACATCCAGACATACTGACTTCCACAAACACTCACGACACCCCCCCAACACACACACCCTGAACACCCTGACACACGAACATGCAGACACACTGACACCAAGACATAAACCCTACATGCAGACATACCCCCGCACAATGCCCAGACACACACATACTACACACAACTACACCTACACAGACACAAACACACTTGGGTACACATCCACACTTAGGGTGACCAGATGACAAGAACAAAATATCGGGACACATGGGGGGGTAGCCACAGGCTTACCCCCCCCCCCCCATCAGGGCCGGCTCTAGTTTTTTTGCAGCCCCAAGCAACCACAACAACAAAAAGCCGGAGTGCCACCAAAGCAAAATATTGGGACAAATGGGGCAAACAACTATATATCAGGACGTCTGGTCACCCTATCCACACTCTACACATCACACGGACACCAACAGTGACACACACAAAGACCTCTGAGGCCTCCTGGGCCCAGACATTGCAGCGAGTGCTGGGCTGAAACTGGGGAGCCATGTGACTGGGGCAAGTGTTAAATGACCTAAGTGAAAAGGGAAGATTTGAGATAAGCTTGATAGGCATATTTCAGATTCAAATCCAAACCCAAAGATTCCGCAGGATCACCCAGCGCCCCCACCCTCACCCAGGCCCTATAGAGCCTCCAGATCTCTCATACCCTATAGATCTCCCACAATTTCCCAGACTTCACAGAGCCTCTTGCATCTCCCAGCCCCAATGGCCCAGCCCCTATATATCCCCTGGTTCTCCCAGGCCCTATAGTTCCCCCTGGATCCTCCAACTCTACTGGACCAGATCCTAAAGGACCTGGAGCCCAGGTGTTGGGATTGGGGGATCCGTTCTGATCCTGGTGGGCGGTAATATTCCCCCAGTGCAGCCAATGCCCTGGGACAGAGGATCCAGTAGATCCCTGAGCATCCTTGTGAATGGGCACTGAAGGGGGGGCAGTGATTGAGGGTGGGATTCTCTGCAGTCACTTTCTCTGTGCTGTTGCTCTAGGAGGCTGGAGCAGCAGCGCATGGCAGAGTATGATGCCCAGCTGCGGGAGATCCAAGAGAGGGTGGAGAGCCGGCCCTACCTCTTTGAGCGTGTCATGCAGGTGAGAGAGGAGTGGGGGCTAGTGGGTTAGAGCAGGGGAAGGAGGCTGGGAGTCAGGACTCCTGGGTTTCATCTCTGGCTCTGGGAGGGGAGTGGGGTCTAATGGTTAGAGAAGGGGGAACAGGCACCCAGGACTCCTCAGTTCTATCTTGAGATCTGGGAGGGGAGTCTAGTGGTTAGAGCGGGGAGGCTGGGAGCCAGGATGCCTGGGTTCTATTCCTGGTTCTGAACGCCCCCATTGCTCTCTTGGCTATAGGAGATCCCCATTAGCTCAGCTAGAAGAGGTTTGAGTGTGGGCAGTGAGGTGGGCAGTCTGAGCCCAGCTCCGTTCTGTGTGTGATTCGAATGATGTCCCTGCCTCTCGCCCCACAGACCAACGCCCGCCTGGCTGTGGAGCGGCGCTTCTCCCAGGTGCTGGCAGCGCTGGGCATCGATGAGGGGCTGCTGTGGAGACATTCAGGGCGCCTGGCCAAGGGCAACACTGCCAGGACAGCTGGAAGAGCCACACAGAGGCGGTCACGGAGCATCTCCTAGACCAGGTGCTGGATATCCCCCATGGATCCCATTGTCCTGGGCCCTATACATCCCCCTGTCCCTATAGATCCGTGCTGGATCCCACTGCCCCAGGTCTGATAGAGTCTCCCTGGATTCCACAGCTCTGAGCCCTATAGATCTCACTGCCTTGGATCCTATAGCTCACCATCTGGCTGTCCCAGACCCAAGCACTATGGATCACCTGGATGCTGGGTACTCCAGGCTCTATAGATCCAGCTGGATCTTCCATTTTCCTTTGTCCAGGGTCGATAGCTCTCCCAGCACAGGGTCTTCTGAACCTCCTGGGTCATCCAGCCCTCGCAGGACTCCTAGGTTCTATTCCCACCTCTGGGAGGGGAGGGGGAATCTAGTGGTTCCTTTGGTTCATGTCCTGCTAACAGGTTGCAGCTGAACAAGAGGCTAGAGTCTCCTCTGGACTCTCTGGACACCGCCTGAAAATAACCCCGGCTGGAACGGAGAAGGGTCACATACAGCTCCCTGCATTAGAGATGCAAAGTACCAGCAAATAAATGAGTCTCTGAGAGCAGAGTTTGCTTTTTTCTTACTGGGATTACTGCACCAAATCGAGCAGGGGGCGTGCTGAACCGGAAACCAAGACAGCCAGGACTCCTGTGTTCTACGCCTGGCTTTGGAAGGAGGATGTGGCCCAGTAGTTAGAGGAGGGCAGGAAGCTGGGAGTTATTATTATTATTATTGTTATTTTTATTACTATTTTTATTGTTATTTAGTATCAGCTAGAGGCCTTGGCTGAGATGGAGGCCCTTGTAGTGCTGGGTGCTGCACAGACCCTGACTGAGATTTGGGCCCCCGTTGTGCAGTCCGCTGCATAGACCCCCCCCCAGTGAGATTGGGGCCCCCACTGTGCCAGGCAATGCACAGACCCTGACCAAGCTTGTGGCCCCCATTATGCTGGATGCTGCATAGACCCCAACTGAGATTGGGTGCCCCATTTTGCCTGGTGCTGCGCAGACACAATGAGAAAGAGTCCCTGCCCCGATGAACTCACAGTCTATAGTTTTCAGGGTTAATGCCTCACTGAGAAGCGTGGAGCAGCTCCCCCTTCCTGGAGCAATCAGCTCAGGCTCTGTGCAGACTCAGGCAGCTGTTGCTGCATTGGTAATACTGGGATTGTGGGGTGCTGTTCGGTGGCAACCATGGGATCATGGATGGGATGGTGCCTGGCAGATTAAATTAAAAACAGTAGGGGGATCATGGGAAATCCATTTTAGGGACAGTAAAAACATCAAATATGTTGCCAGGGGGTTGGGAACACCCAAGTCTGGAGAGACAGAACCCTAGTATCATGGAGCACGGCTGAAGAAAACATGGCCTGGGGGAGGTAAGAGTACAGCTGTGCTGCATCCACTGGGATGGGGCAAAGGAAGCTGTCAGCCCTGGATTTCCCCTGTTGCCCCCAGCCCCAGATCCCCTCAACCCTGTATCCTCCTACAGCCCATGTTCCCCTCACCTTCCAGCCCTGAGTCCCCCACAACCTTAGATTCTCCCCTCCACTCCCCACAACCCCAGACACCCAACAGCCCTAGTTTCTCTCCCCCACAGCCCAGCTCCCCTCACCTCCCCCCTCCACTTGAGACAGCCCTAGATCCCCTCTTACCTGCAGGCTTCCTTGCCTCTCCCTACCTAGGCAGCTGCCTGCTTCCCAAACCTCTGTTCAAGCTCATCTAACATTTCTCTCCCCTCACCCCTACTTAGCTCTGTCTTTCCCCGGCTCCCCAGGGACTGACCTCTCTCACCTCCTCCCCCGCCCCGCCCCGCCCCCTCCCCCCGAGTCCAGGTGAGAGGCATTGAATCTGGGGAACAAGGCTGGGAGTGGGAGAGCATCCAGATCCCGGGTCTTGGCTGGAGCACACCTGCCTCCCCGCTGATCGTTTAAAGAGCCCCAGCCCCGTCCCAGCCCCGCTTGGACACAGGACTCCTGGGTTCTAGGCTCGGCTCTGGGAGAGGACTGGGGGCTAGTGGGTTAGAATAGGAGGGACTGTGAGTCAGGATTCCTGGGTTCTATTCCCAGGTCTGGGAGGAGGGGAGGCCTCGTGGGATAGAGCAGGAGGGACTGGGAACCAGGACCCCCCGCTGCCCTCCCTGTACCAAATGGGGGGTGAGAAGCAGGACTGGCGATACGAACGAACGGCTAGAAACCGGTTTATACTGACCCCACTGCTGCTGCGTGGCTCTCTGAGCTTAATGTCCCTCCCCTCCTCCCTTATTCTCATTGCACTGTCCCAGTTGCTTCCTCCTCCTCCCGGACTCTGCACCTGCCTCAAGGTAAGAGCAGATCCTTGCCCCACCCACTGAAAGCTGAGACCAGCTCCTCTTCAGAAGGGACGATCAGCTCCCAGCTCTAGGGGCAAAGTGAGGTCTAGTAGCTAGAGCAGGGGGCTGGGAACCAGGACTCCTGGGTTCTATCCTGGCTCTGGAAGGGGAATAGAGACTAGTGGCTACAGCAGAGAGGCTCGAACCCCAAACTCTGTCACTGCTGCCCCTCCAATCTCCAAGCTTCTGGTTCCAGCTCTCTACTGGATATAAAGAGACAAACCCACATGGGTGAAATGCTCTGAGAACTAAGTCAAGCAGAAGTGCCATGTAAATACCAAAAAGGGCAGAGGTGCGTGTATGGGGGTACCTGAAATACCTTGGGGGGGCTGAACGGGTGTGGGCGGGTAGCTGAATGGCCATGGATATCTGTCAGGGTTTGGGGGAGAGTAGATACCTGGAGGGGTTGTCAGGGTGCATGTGGGGGTACCTGAAACATGGGATTGTCTGTGTGGGGGTGCCTGATGCATCCTGGGGGACTGTAAAGGTGTGTGTGCGTGTGCAGGGGGTAGTTGAATGGCCATTGGGGGCTGTTGGTGTGTGTGTGAGACAGGTACCTGGAAAGTCCTGCTGCACTGTGGGGTGTCTGTGGGAGGGGGTAGCTGATCAGGTGTTAGGAGTGTGTGGGGGGGTAGTTGAGCTGTGGGAGGCTGTTGGGGGTGTGTGGTGGTACAGGGAGGTGCCATCTAACCCCTTCCCTTCCTTGCCCCACAGCAACCCCCCCCATACACACCATGAAGCTCCGCTACATCAAAGCTTATGTCTGGCTCTCCTGCGTCTTTGTCGCCAATGTGATAGTCTACACTGTAGTGATGCTCTCAAGGAGGCCACTCGGTCTGCAGGCTTCCGGGAGATCAGCCTTCGTTGGGGGCCATCTGAGGCTGTGGCAGCACAGGGACCTCCATGGCCTTCCCCTCTGGAACTTGTTGATGCTCTACATGGACCAGCTGGACAACCCCATACTGAGGAATGCCACAGCCCAGTTCAATCTCACGCTGCCAGGGACGTGTGGAGAGAGCTTCCATGAAGCCTCCCAGAGGTTGACAGATTTCTCCTCCTACCCCAGCCACCTCCAGGCTTTTGTCCTCTCCATGCACTGCAGGGACTACCCACTGCTAGTTGGGCCAGCAGATGATGAGGCCTGCCCAAATGGGACACAACTGCTGGTGGCTGTTAAGTCCCAGTTGGCCAACTTTGACCGACGTCAAGCCATCCGGCAGACATGGGGCCGAACTGGGCTGGTCAGGAACGTGACAGTGCAGACGCTCTTCCTGTTGGGCAGGCAAGGCTCAGGGGATGGGCATCCGGATCTGGAGGCACTTCTGGAGCTGGAGAGGCGGAAAAACAGCGATCTCCTGCTTTGGGACTTCCAGGATACCTTCTACAATCTCAGCCTAAAGGACATCCTGTTCCTAGGGTGGTTGCAGGGCCACTGCCCCAGCGTGGAGTTGATCTTCCTTGGGGGGGATGATGTCTTTCTTAGGGTGGACACCCTGGTGGCTTACGCTGGGAGCCTTGACGCTGTCACTCGCCGGGGCCTCTTTGCTGGCCATGTCATCCAGAATGCTGTCCCAGTCCATGACTGCAAACACAAGTACTATATCCCTGAGTCCTTCTATCAGGGCACCTACCCACCCTATGTGGGGGGTGGAGGGATCCTTTGCTCACGGGATGTGGCTGCCCGGCTCTACGAGGCTTCGTGCCACTTGCCCCTCTTCCCTATCAACAACATCTACCTGGGGATCTGCCTGAGAGAGCTGGCACTGGTGCCACAGAACCACCCTGGTTTTTGGACCTTCAGCATGAAGGCTGAGGGACAGGAGGACTTTTGTGCTTACAAGGAACTCATCCTGGTGGATCACAGGACACCCCAGGATATCATCCGGCTGTGGCGAGGCCTGCATGACCCTGCTTTGGCCTGCTAGGCCCCATGGTGGTGGCCATGTTGATTGTCTACTTTTCTTTGGTGGCCATCTGTTTTCTAGCTTTCCTTGGTGGACATCTTGGCTGACTGGTTGGCCAATGTTCTTTGGAGACTATCTTTGCCTCCTGGAGGATATTTCCCCTACACCTCCCTCATGCAGACACCAAGAACTGCTGCTACTCTGGAGGCTCGGCTCTGAATCCAAGGCTGCCATCTTAGTCCTTGACAGCTGGCCACAGTGCTGCGGCTTAGCCCATCGGGGACCACCCCACAGTGCCTCCTGCTGACTAAGCAGAGATTGAGTTCCTCGTGCAGACCAGATACATAGCCAGAGAAGGCTGGGGATGCTGCTGCTGCCGCCATGCTTGAGGGATGAACGGCTCAGTAGGGGGCACTGTCTCCTCACAGTAAGTGCTCCCCCCTATGCCCAGGGGGTTCTTTGCTGCAGGGAGCAGGATGGGGGGGCTGTAGGGGGTGCTCTCCTGTCACAGTCAGTGCTGATCCCAGCATGGAACTAGGGGCTGTTGTACTTAAGTGGTGCATAGACTTAGCAGAGGGGTGAATCAGAGGGAGACAGCTGTCTCAGCTGTAAAATTTGGATTTAGACTATTGAGTTGCAACTAAAAGGGTCATTTTTAAATGCAGTTCATTGGTAACATGCAGAAATCCTCTCATTTTGTTCTTGGTTCCTCCTGTATTCAGAGAAGCAGGGCTTTGTACATTTCTTATAAATAAACAATATTGCATCAAAGAAATACCGGAGTATCAGCAATTTCTCCTCTTCACTGGAACATCCCCAGAGTCCTGAAATTTGACTAGCTGCTTGGGTTGAAAACACAACAACACAAACTGTACATGGTGCTTCTTGCTGCAGGTAAAATATGCTACCCAAATAACTACAGCACTGTCCATGAATTGTGCTGGCTGCAATGTATTGCATGTCTGTGTGTCGTTGCCTCCTGCTGGACAGAATCAGGCTGGTGGGGAGTGTTTTCTCTGACCCTACTATTGCCTGATCTATGGCTGTTCTATAGCGACACCAAAGATACAATGATCAGGGACTGTAAGACACAGGAAGGCTGGCCTTGTCTTTAAGGCACAGAGCTGGGATCCAGGAGATCTTGCTTCCATTCCCAGCTCTGCTACAGCCTTCCTGTGTGACCTCGTGCCACTCACTTCATCTGTCTGGGCTTCAGTTTACCCATCTACAAAGCAGGTCTAATAATCCTTCCTTTGTCTAGTTAGACTGTGAGCTCTTCAGGGCAGAGGCTGTCTCTCAGTGCTTGTCTCAAGGCCTGACATGACGGGGGCCCTGAGTCAGGACTCCTGGTTTCTGTCCCTATTCCTGCCATTATGACCGTAGCCAGCTTGCTTCCTCTGTATTCCTCATTTTGCCTGTACCAAGGGTTAATTTATGAACAAGCTTTGAGCTTCCTTGGCAGCAAGAGAAGGGGAGCAGGACAAGCAGCAGAGCCCTGGGCAGTCACAGGAATGTTATCTGATCATGCTGAGAGCTGCAATTTCACCCCCTAAGCTCCTGTTTACATCTCTCCCATTGCACTCTGGTTATGAACCAGCAAAGAAGTTGAGAGCAGCTCCTTCATACCTGGCCAGGAGCCAGGGTAATGCCATGAAATAACCCTCTGCGTAGGGGAAAAAAGAAGCTGAACTGGAAATACAAGATGAGGCGTCAAGGACCCTTGGGGAAATGCTATCTTCTCCCCCCTCCACCCCCTCCCTGCTGTGCCAGTGGAAGTGGGGTCTAGTGGTTAGAGAAGGGGAGGCTAGGGGTGATGGTCAGGACTCCTGGGTTCTATCCCCAGATCTGGGAAGGGAGTGGGGTCTAGTGGGCTAGAGCAGTGGGGGGAGCTGGGGTTCAGGATTCTTGGGTTCTAACCCCAACTGTGGGAGGGGAGTAGGGTTTAGTATGTTAGAGCAGGGGTTCCCAAACCTTTTACTCAAGTGACCCACCAACTGCATTTTGTCTTTTTTTTTTTTTTTTTTTTTTTAGCAACATGTGTAGGTCCAAATTCATGCCATCCCCCTCACCAATCGTAGGTCAGCATTCTTCTCCTCCTCCTCCTCCACGCTACACAGACAGGGAGGGGACCCACCACTTACAGCAGCACCCTCTGGCCAGCGCCACAACCCTAATCCCAGCTCAGTGCAGAGGGGAGGTTGCAGGGGAAGGGAGCTGGGGAGCAAGTCTGCTCTGCACTGACCCTGCAGCAGCAGCTCCTGTCCCATGGTGCTGGGCCCAGTTCCCCAACCTGGTGCGTGGAGTTGCAGCACCACTCAGCTTTGGCCCAGAATGGCCAGAGCAGGGAGTTGGGACAGCCCTGCAGGACACTTTGGAGCTGCCTCTGTGGGATGAGTGCAAGGCAGGCTCTCTTTCTAACCCCCTTACCCTGCTGGGACCTCCCATCCACACCAGGCCCATGACTCATCTACAACCTTCTCACAACCCACTGATTGGGACACTAGGTTAGTGCAGAGTATATTAGGTACCAGGACTTCTATTCCCAGCTGAGGGAGGAGTCGGGTCTAGTGGCAAGAACAGCTCAGGACTGCGAGTTAGGACTCCTGGGTTTTATTCTCAGCTCTGGGATAGGAGTGTGGTCTAGTGGCTAGAGAAGGGCAGGATGGGGGTAGGGGGCTGACTACCAGAACACCTGGATCCTCTGATTTGTCCCTGATTCGTCTTTGTCCCTGATTTTCTGTGTGATCTTGAGGCAAGTCTGTCTTAGTTATCTGGCCCCCATCATGATCGGATCTGCACCTCCCCATGCCTCAGTTTCCCTGTGGCATGGAGATGATATTTCTGCCTCCTTGGAGAAAAGGAATGTGATACAGTTACCTAATATCTGCACAGCCCTTGGGGCCTGCTGTATTCCTATTCCTCCTCTTGTCAGTTTTTCCAGCGGCTTAGCCCTTACTCCTATTAACTGCCACCAGGATCTACAGCTCTGCATTGCTGACTCCATCTCTACCAGGATGCCACCTCGTTGCACAGAAAGCCTCCTACCACACCCAAGAAAGAAGTATCTGCTTATTTTTAGGGATCAGAATGATTTAAGAGGTAGCCAGGGGCTTAATTCAAATATTTATATAGGGCTGCTTTGGCTGGCAGTATTTAAAGAAACAAACCGGGCCCTAAACTAAAATATTTATACTGGTCACTATCCTAAGGCTCAAGTGTAAGTAGCAGGGAGGCTGCAGAAATGTTGCACCAGGCTAGGATTGTGTCAGTTTTCACAAGCTAAGGTGGTGGTGACTCAGTAGGGGCACTCATTGGGGATGAACTGATTTCCCCCCTGTGATATGTCCCCTGATACAGAAGGATGTATGGGGCATAGCATCCCTTCCACATAGGAGGGGAGGGAATGAGTCTTCTCCCCACCACTTCTAATGGTATTTCCCCCTGTGTATACAGAAGGGTATATGGTTTTGTCAGAGTTCCGTCCCCACTCTGAACTCTGGGGTACAGTTGTGGGGACCCGCATGAAAGACCCCTCCCCCCCGCAAGCTTATTTCTACCAGCTTAGGTTAAAAACTTCCCCAAGGCACAAATTCTTCCTTGGATGGTATTGTTGCTCCCACCAAGTGAGTAAGACAAAGATTCAGGAAAAGGACCACTTGGAGTTCCTGTTTCCCCAAATTTCAGAGTAACAGCCGTGTTAGTCTGTATTCGCAAAAAGAAAAGGAGTACTTGTGGCACCTTAGAGACTAACCAATTTATTTGAGCATAAGCTTTCACTTAAGCTTATGCTCAAATAAATTGGTTAGTCTCTAAGGTGCCACAAGTACTCCTTTTCTTTTTGTTTCCCCAAAATATCCCCCTAAGTCCCTCCATCCCCTTTCCTGGGGAGGCTTGAGAATAATATACCAACCAAACAGGTAAACAAGGTGAGCACAGACCAGACCCTTGGGTTTTTAGGACACTAAAAACCAATTAGGTTCTTAAAAGCAGAACTTTATAATAAAGAAAAAAGTAAAAGAAGCACCTCTGTAAAATCAGGATGGAAAGTAATTTTACAGGGTAATAAGATTTAAAACACAGAGGATTCCCCTCTAGGCAAAACTTCAAAGTTACAAAAAACAAGGAATAAACCTCCATCTTAGCATAGGGAAAATTCACAAGCCAGAACAAAAGATAATCTAATGCATTTCCTTGCTTTACTTACAATTTTTGTAATTTTAGATGCTTATTTCAGGTAGGGCTTTAGGAGAGGTTTTTATTTCTGCCTGGTCCCTCTCTCTGTCCCAAGACAGCACAACAGAGAGAGCATAAACGAAACCTCCCCCCACAGATTTGAAAGGATCTTCTTCCTTTATTGGTCCTTTTGGTCAGGTGCCAACCAGGTTATTTGAGTGTCTTAACCCCTCACAGGTAAAGGAGGGATTTTATACTACCCGTAGCTGTATGGTTATGACACGCCTCCCCCAGATCACAGACTGTGTTGGACAGCCTGCTCCACACTGGCTGTGATTTCTTCCTGGAGCTGTGTCAATGGAGTGGTATCCCCGTTTGGTCCGTCCTGGGGTGGCTGAGAACATCGGCGCGAAGCTAGTGAACAGCTCCTTGATCTGCTGTTACTGCATACGTCTGAGGGTCATTGAGAGGTTCACCTCTAAAACGCCACCGTCACTTTTTCCTTTGTAGTAGACACCTTCAGGCCACTCAGCGTCATCTCCTCCCTGGGTTGTAAACGGACTAACCTTTAATTCTCTGGAATAAGAGGGCTTTAGAGAATTAAAATGGTACGCTTTAGGTTTGTGGTGGGGGATGCTATGAGATAGTTAACCGCTCCCAGGCGCTCTTAGACCGTAAATGGCCCGTCCCATGACGCTTCCATCTTATGGGCCTGGAGCACCTTCAAGACCATGACCTGGTCCCCTACTTTGAAGGAACGCTCTCTGGCATGTTTATCATACCAGGCCTTTTGTTCTTCCTGAGCATCTTTTAGGTTTTCTCTAGCTAGGGCTAAAGAGTCTCGGAGGGTATTTTGCAGGTCCAGTATGTTAGTTCCTGGAGAAGGTGTATACCCCTCCCATTGCAGCTTCACCAACTGTAATGGCCCTTAACCTCGCAGCCATACACAAGTTCAAATGGTGAAAACCCTAAACTGGGATGTGGTACAGCCCTGTAGGCAAAGAGCAACTGCTGCAACACTAGGTCCCAATCATTGGAGTGCTCATTTACAAATTTACGTATCATGGCCCCCAAAGTTCCATTAAACTTCTCCACCAGGCCATTTGTTTGATGGTGGTAAGGGGTGGCAACCAAGTGGTTCACCCCATGAGCTTCCCACAGGCTTTTCATGGTCCCTGCCAGGAAATTAGTTCCCGAATCCATAAGGATGTCAGAGAGCCAACCTACCCTGGCAAAAATGTCTGTTAATGCATGGCACACACTTTTAGCCCTGGTGTTGCTTAGAGCTACTGCTTCCGGCCATTGGGTGGCAAAATCCATGAAAGTCAGTATGTACTGCTTTCCTCTGGGTGACTTTATCAGAAAAGGACCCAGAACAGCCACAGCTACTCGCTGAAAGGGAACCTCAATTATGGGAAAGCTGGAGAGGGGCTTTGACCTGGTCTTGGGGTTTTCCCACTCTTTGGTACACCTCACAAGACTAGACATAAGTAGGAACGTCCTTGCCCATTCCCTCCCAGTCTTTGGACCTGTTCATCCCAGCATGGCCACTAGGATGATCGTGGGCTAAGCTCAAGAGCTTTA